ATTGTGACATCCCTACAGTCAGCAGCACTCATTTAATTGGCAGCATTTTCTCGTTACTAGTGAGATTCCTAAAACTGTATCTGATGTCCCTGAACCGGTTTCCAAGGCTAGAAGTATCCATCCGTGCTGTTGGAAGAGCTGCCCTGGACATTTGCCATATGCTGCACCCAGTCCTAAGATCCCAACTCAGTCACCACCACCCCACCAGGAAGAAAGCACATCTGTAATCTCAGGCACCCTGTGCTGCCTGAGGCAACAAAGCATCTTCTCTGTCTAGCCTGGCTAATCTCTTTCAACCTGGGCAAGTTTAGAATTCAATCTAGACTTCTAATATGGCAGTATATTTAATCCCTTTTCCTCCTGAAACCCCTCTAAAATGACAGGAAAGTTTTATTAAAAGCAAAACCTGCAAGGGCAAAGAGGTGGAATATTGTGGAGCTGGAGGAAGGTGGGCGGTGGGAGCTGCTTTAGCCCTCTGGACTGCAGAGGTCAGTGTCTGAGGGGTGGTGCGTGAAAGCGCACCTGGAAAAAGGAGACCCCAAACTTCTATCCCTACCTGCTAGAGCTGGCAGGGACTGCCCCTGTCCAGGAGAGAAGCTCTGAGGCCTGGCTTATGGGCAAGGCCCTGTTTGAAATTGGAAGAGTAGGTGAGATCCTGACTGCTTCTCCCACCTCTGTCACTGGCTGAGTCTGGCCTCCCACAGGTGTCACCCAGTTCCTCAGAGAGGAGGCCTTCTGCAGCAGCTAGCAACTCAAAAGACTTGCAGCTGGGGGTGGGGGTAGGGGTGCCTATTAGAGTAGCCTGGCCTCAAAGCTCACCAGGCCATAAGCCCCAGGCCCTAAGACCATCTCACTCGTAGATGCAACTGGATGGCCCAGGATCACCAGACAACTGAGGAAGAAGAAAAGGGACTCAGAAGCTGGGCACAGTGGCTCACACCTGTAATCCTAGTACTTTTGGGGAGGCTGAGGCAGGAAGATTGCTTGGGGAGAGAAGTTTGAGACCATCCAGAGCGAGAGCAAGACCCCATCTCTACAAAAAATAGAAAAATTCAGCCAGGTGCGGTGGCTCACACCTGTAATCCTAGCACTCTGGGAGGCTAAGGTGAGAGGATTGTTTTAACTCAGGAGGTCGAGACCAGCCTGAGAGAGTGAGAACTCGTCTCTATTTAAAAAAAAATAAACGGAAAAAAAGAAAAAGAAAAATTAGCCAGGTGTGGTGGGACACACCTGTAATGCCAGCTACTCAGGAAGTTGAGGCAGGAGAATGGCTTGAGCCCAGGAGTTGGAGGTTGCAGTAAGCTGTGATTGTGCCATTGCACTTGCCCAGGTGACAGAGAAAAACCTGTCTCAATAAAAATTAAGGGACTCAAAGGAACAGAGACAATAAAGGAAGCAGAAGGGGGGGAGGAGCTAAATGATATCCTTAGCTATATTAGAGGTGTTGCATCCAACAAACAAGAACAGGAGGCTATAGAGAAAGAACATTCAGGAAATGAGAAAGAGCTCTTAGAAATGAAAAATATGTAATATGCCGAAATAAAAAAAAATACACAGCAAGAACAACAACAACAAAAAAAAGAAATGAAAAATATGAGAGGAAAATGAACCATTCAATAGTCTTGAAAAATAATCGAAATCTTACAGAATATATAACAACAAAATCAGATAGCTAAAAAATAGAAAATGTAATAATTATCACACAAGTCAGTACTCTCCAGTGCTCGAAACTGGCCTGGCACACCTGAGGCCTCACCATAAAAGGGGATGGATGGGAGGGGTGGGCTGTCTTACTGTAGCTGCCATCAGAGGAGTCATAAGCACCACCCTCTGCTGGCTACTTCCTCTTGATAATGATGTGTAATGGCAGGCACTGTTACTTCACACACATTCATTAAGCAATCCTTCCAACAACCCTATGCTATGCAGTGGCTACTGTTTAATCCCCATTTTTACAGATGAAGATGTGCAACGCCACACAGCAGGGGAACAGCAGAAAGGCTCCAGAGCCTTGCTAACCAGCACATCATTGCTCCTCTCAAAGGATAAGTACAACATCTAAATAAATTGTCCAGAAAATAAGAAAAGGGGAGAAATCACCAAGGAAATAATTCAAGAGAATTTCCTAGAACTGAAGGGTCAGGTTTCTGGACAATGGATGAAAAAGAAATTGTACATCAAGACATGTCATTGAGAATTTCCAATACAATGGGGCAAAGAAAAACTTAAGAGAGATCATAGACAATGAGTCAGAATTCAAAAAGACATGAGAGTTCTTGGGACTAGAAGAAAATTATGTGATACCCTCAAAATCCTGGTGAGAAATGATTTCCAACCAAGCCAAGCTTTGTGTACCTAGTTACACTTTCAAGCACAGGTGAGATTAGAATAAGGACAGACAAAGGTTCCGTAACTTCCCATGCATCCTCTCTCAGGAAACTTGGAGGATGTTCCTCCTCAAATGGGCAGATGAAGGAAGAGGAAAGCATGAGACTCAGAGACAAAAGAAAGGAGGTGCTCCAGGACTCTGGGGAAGGAGTGACCCAGGCTGACATCTGGGTCACAAGTACAAGAACAAACAGCTTGGGGCAAAGGAATCTCATGTTAGGGGCTTCAGGAAAAGAAGAAACTGAGCATTCAATTGTGATGTGTCCTAAATATTGAGAGGAAACTGACACTTTTGCAGTGACATCTAACAATGAATTAATAACAGACACATATAGAAAACTAAGCAAACCAAAAAAAAAAAAAGGCAATTATTAACTCCAGGAAAAACAAAAAATTGTGCAAGAAAGAAAATATCCTAGGACACTTTGTTCCCTCCTGAGACCTGTGGTGATGAAACTGTAATAATACCCAGGCAGCTGTGATATCCATCACAGTTGGGACTATCGATGTTGGCTCAGAGGATCGAGGCAGGTGACCCCACCCCCAGAGGATGCCAGCTTGGGTCGCCTAATATAGAAAAACTCATAAACTGGACTAAAAATACACATGTGATTTTGAGAAACATGTACTTCAAATGTCTGAAGAAACAGCTAAGAGAGTTGAATATAGGGAGGATCAGAGTAGGAGACTACATTTTTTATTTATTATTAGCCTCAAATAAACCATTCCACTTTCAAAACAATATGGATAAAACTCTGAAAAGATAAAACTTAAAATGACAAACTCAACATAGTTATGATTAAGTGTAGCAATGGTAGTACTGATGCTTTTTTTTTTTTTTTTTTTTGTGCCATAAAAGTGAGAAATGAAGTACTGATGCTTTTAAGTTCAGTTTAATCACTGGTATAATGTTATGAATTTACCAAACTGTTTAAGACCATGCAAAATTAGACAGCTTAGCATCAGGTTTTCCATCTAGAATGTGTAAATTATTTTAGATTGGTAATTTTAAGTTCAAAGGTATGATAATTTGAATAATTCTACAAATAGTATTGAAATGTTTAAGATAACTTGAGATTCCCCATATTTGTACATTTATTTAATATGCTTTGGTAAATTTTGTTTTAGTTTTTGGCTTTTGGTTAGGGTGGTGTTGTAGGCAGGATGCCATCCTTCCTCCGCAAAAGATGTCCACTCCTTTAATCCCCAGGGAACCAATGAATGTTAGTTTACATGGCAAAAGGTATTTTGCATATGTGATTAATATTAAAAACCTTGGGAGGGGGAAATTAGCCTATACTATCTGGGTAGGCCCCAAGCTGATCTCATGAGTCCTTAAGGAGAACCTTTCCTGCTACAGAGAGCCAGAGACAAAAACTCAACTTGCTGTTGCTAGCTTTGAAGATGGAATAAGGGGCCAAGAGCCAGGGGATGTGGGCAGCCTCTAAAATGGGGAATGGCCCTCAGAAGACAGCCAGCAAGGAATGGGGGGTCAGCTCCACTGCTGCATGGAAGCCAGTGCTGCCCACAGCCTAGCTAAGCAGGAAAAGGGTTCCTACTAGAACCTCCAGAAAGGACTGCAGCCTGCTCACCTTGATTTTAGTCTAGGGAGACCCCATCAAGACTTCCAACCTACAGAATTAATAGTAAGTCTGTGTCATTTTAAGCCACTAAATTTGTGGTAAATTTTACAGCAGCAATATAGAACTAATACAGTGGTGAACCTTTCTAGTTTGACATTTGAAATGCTTAAAAAGAAATCTGAATGCACTAAATTTATACATACAGTTTAAAATTGGAAGAGGCAGTCCAAGAACTAAGGGGTCAGAGAGGTGGGGGCGCAGAATCCAGGAAGACACTGGAACCTCTAAGACTGAGACGCAAGTTGGGAGGGAGACAGACAGGGACCAGTAGTGACATCCTCAGGGCCCAAGGAGCAGCTGCCCAGGGAGGAGGTGCAGGAGGTAACACGGAGGGGTGTGAGTTTGAGGAGCAGGGAGGATGCCTGGTTGTTGACCCCTCCAGGCCAGGGTGTACAGGAGAGAAACTGGCTACTGAGGGAGCTGCAGGGGTGAGCAGAGCAGAGTCTGCAGAGGGCTGGTCTCAGAGTGGGTGGAGGGCCAGAGAGGGGGTCCAGGATTGGTCTGTGCAAGAACAGAGGCTTTGCTGACAACAGCCTCGGCTCCAGGGCTTTCTACCGTCTGTTTCTCTCATCACATCACGGCCCTGCCCAGCGCCCAGCGCCATGGCTGACACCTGTAGGTGCTCCACCACTATCTTGAGATCCAGGCTCCTTGTGTGGGTCCATGGTGCCAACCAGGAATGGCCACTCTCCCAACAGGATGGAGCAATTCTTGAGCAGAGCTATGTCCAGGGCTGACCCCACCCCACCCATGAGGTGGGCAAGGTGGGTAGTGGGGCTCCCTGCAGGGCAGCGTCCCAGTGCTGAGGACTCAGAGGTGCTGGTGGGTGGTAGGGTAGTGGGGCAGGGGCTCATGGTCAGGAGGATGCAGGACATGGGACAGGGCTGCCTTGTGGAAGCCAGGGTGGGCAGGGCAGCCCTGACCCTAAGGACATGCAGGGCCTATGCACTCCCACAACCTGGGCTCCCTCACAGCACCCTCCCCTCCCCAGGAGTGAACCCCACCCCCAGGCGCCTGGGAGGCAGCTTCAGCCCCACTTGGTCCTCACTAGCTCCGGGGCACACAGGTGGACTCAGCTCTGCAAGTCTGGGCTCTTCTCCATGTGGAGGCCCCAGCTGGGGCGCGGGTCAGGGCTGGGCACCGCGGTACTTGAGGAGAGTGCTCTCCAGGAAGGCCGCCAGCTTCGTCCGGTCGTCCTGCAGGCAGGGAGGGAGGCATGGGGGGACCGAGGGGCTCAGCGCACCCCACGCACCCTGTTGCCCGGCCGCGCCCACCTGCGCACCTCATGGACAAAGCCGTAGTGCACGAGCTCCGCGGCGAGGTCCTGGGCACTGTCGGCTGCGGCAACAGCAACAGCGCGGGGGCGACGCAGGGGCGACGCGTGAGTGAGGCCGCCGCTATGCCCGCCGCCCCAGGTTGCCACCCACCGCCCGGGGCCTCTGTGGCCTACTTGGAAGCAGGTCATAGGTCAGCTGCCTGTGCAGCCGGTCCTCCAGCACCAGAAGCAGAGTGAGCTGGGGGAGGCAGGGCGGAGTCAGTGGAGGCGGTGCCAGGAGTCCCCGCCCCCCCCGCGCCCCCCATGTCTTTCTGCCACAGCCCAGGGCCCAGCTCACATGCCAGCGAGCCTTGTCCTCGGTTCTCTCCAGGTTGCACTGCATCTGGACCACCTGCAGGAGTCACCCACAAAGGCTGGAGCTCAGTGACTGAGCAGATGCTGCCTCAGAGGGGCCCACAGGGACAGCAGAGATTGACATGGGAAACATCTCTGGGAGGAGCCCAGAAAGCACATCTCACTGCTAGTGGCCTGGCAAGTTAAGGAAAACTTTGAGAAGAGTAGACATTGGGGTTGCGGGGCTGGGTACTGAAAGATGAACAGGAGCTTTCACAGGTGGAGAGGATACCTGAACAAAGAGGGGACTGTGGGAAGCAAGGGAGGGGAGGTCAGGCAGGTGTGACAGCACCAAAGGGGGGGGGTGCTCCAGTGGGACCAGGCCAAGGGCTCCCACCATCTCTGCAGACAGCCAGGAGCCAGGCAGTTTTGACTATTAGGACAGGATTCTGGTTGTACTGTGGAAGATCAGGCCAGGGGCTGGTGCAGCATCCAGGTGAAGAATAGGGGTGGCCCAGATCAGGGCAGTGGCCAGGGGGACATACCCAGGGCCAAAGCCAGGCCCTCTGGAGCACGGTGAGTATGGACAGGAAAAGGGAGAGGGAGTAGCAAGGCTGACTGAGAGAAGCCCCTGCTGGGAGAAGTCAAGGGAAACACCAAGACACCACTATCAAGGGAACAGCAAGCTGATGGATGGGACTGGAGGAGCCTCCGGAAGAAGGCTGCATGGGGCACAGGGGGATGGGGGCAGCAGGAGTGGTAGGGAGGGTCTGCAGGGGGCAAGGGGCTTCTGGAAAGGGAAGTGTCCCAGCTTGTCCTATGACCTCCACAACTCTACATGGAGTCAGCCTGGCAGAGAGCTGGGCTAGGAGCACTTGGGCACCGAGAGAAGGGTACCCACTCTCTGGCTGGTGGGAGGTCTGAGGGATGGCACAGAGCAGCAGGAGTGGGACTTGCCTTTCTGGTCTCAGAGTCAAAGGGTTCTGGTGTCGGGGTCTTAGTCTTCTGGGCCTCCTCAGGGGGTGGGGCCAGCACTCGGGGCAGCCCCAGGGGTCGAGCAGCTGCAAAGTTCATCAGTGGGTAGATCCCGTTCCTGGGGATACATGAATGTGGCTGGGGGCTCAGACCTGACAGCTGTCTGGTCCCGACATTGCACCAGCTCTCACCTGACATCCTCCAGGAATTTGTCCAGCTCTAAGAAGGAGACCTCCGAGTACCTGGCATGGGGTGGAAGGCACATGAGGGCCTAGGAGAGTTGAGAAGGGAGGCTTCAAGGTGCTAGATGCTCACCGCCACTGCAGTGGGGGCCGGCAGGGCCGGGGAAGCTCTGCCAAGACTGCATGCAGGTCCATGGCCTTGGTCTTCTCCTCCACCACGTTCTCAGGCATGAGGTCTGTGGCCACAGAAGCACCAAGGCGGTGGCTCAAGTCTCAGATCCTACAGGGCCCCCTTCCACATCTGGACCCTGGCCCCCCAGCCCATCCCCTGGGATGGCCTGCTCCTCACACTGGTGCTGGATGAAGCAGTGGGCTGCCAGGAGCTTCAGTGAGTGCACCTCAAAGAGCACGCGGTGGAAGAGGAGGCTGTGGGCAGAGGGCCGGCAGGCAGGGTCCCGGGCCAGGCAGGAAAGGATGAATTCCTGGGCATGGAGAGGAGAGGCTGGCAGTGAATGGAGGTGCTCCTTTCTACCCCATAGTCCTCCCTCCTCAGGGACACCACAGGACACACATAGGGGAAGGCCAGGCCAGGACCTGATCATGTGAGCTTGAGGACAGTCAGATCCTGAGCTCTGAGCACCCCGGCTTTACTTCCCTAACCCTCACAAAAATCGTGGAGAGCAAGTGCTATTGTCCCCAAGTCACAGATGAGAGCCCTCCTATACACAGCCTGCCCCCATTTGGTTGCCCCAGCTCAGGTTCAACTCCGGAGCTGACCTTGATGGATCCCCACCTGCTCCACATCTGTGCCCTCCTTGTCTCTCATGCCCTTCCATGTACCCCTGTCTCCTGGGTCTGTAGAGTTAAGCTGCTGGCCTCCCACCAGAGAGGCTGTGGATGCAGCTTTCATCCTGTACTCCCCACTGATGCCTACCATGTCCCTGACAAGCTGGGGCCTCTCCTCACCTCCTGGAAGTTTAAAGGCAAGGACTTGGAGTTAGGCAGACCCAAGTAGGAATGCTGGTTCCACCACTTACACTAAAGCCCTGGACAAAGTACTTAACCCTTGTAAGCCTCAGTTTCTTTATCTATAAAATGGGCATAGTAATCGTGCCTACACAGGGAGTATCTCTCTGGTCTCCTCCTTAGAACGTGCTGATCCCTTAGGGCCTTCATGATGGGAATGTGTCCCTGCGGGTTCCTCCAGCTGGCATACCCTCAGCTGCACTAGCCCAGTACACACCCCAGGGCCAGCCCACAACACTCACTGGCCCTGCCCGAGCACCTTGAACCAGCCTGGGAGGAGCAGGGAAAGCTGCTTACCTGCATGTTGGGGTCACTCAGTGAGTGCCTGGCACGAGCAATGGCCTCCTCTGTGACACGGGTGTCCCCATTGGACTGGATCTCCAGCACAGCCATCTGGGGGGCAGGGTCAGATCAGGCATGGGGAAGGGGCACAAATGAGATAGGGTAGAGCTCAGCTGGGAAGGGGCTAGGAGGCCAGAGCCAGTACCTCCAGTGCACACATGCCAAAGGAGAAGATGTCCACAGCAGTCCCATCAGCAACCTCTGAAAAGGAGAGAGCAAGGAAAGGCGAGTAGGACAGATGTGCAGGACAGGGCCTGGTGGAGGGGGCCCCTGGACTCACCGCCATATTCTGGTGGGAAGAAGTGCAAGTTCCGCAGTTCCTCTCGCTCAGCGCGGATGGGGCTTCGAAGATCATCCGGAAGCGCTATAGAAGAGCATGGGGCTGAGCGGATGGGACCTTTCCAGGACCCCATCCACCCAGGGTTCCCACGCACCATTAGAGAAGATGCGGTACCACACTGTGCCGGCCAGGGCGGGGAGAAAGAGCCGAGTCAGCAAGCTGGGGCGTTGGGCGTCCTCTGCCCTCGGCTCCCGGCTTGTCCCCCAGCCCTGCTCCCCCTGCCCTGCCCAGCCCCGCCCCGCCAGCACCGGAGCCGATCTTGACGAGTCCGTTGTGCTGAATGAAGATGGTGTCACTGGTCAGGTTCCCGTGAATGATGGGGGGGCTGCAGGCATGCAGAAAGCTGCAGGTGTGCAGAGGGGAGAGCAGGCAGAGCCATGTCAGGGGTACTGAGAGGTGGGGGCTGGGGGACAGGCGGGAGGGCAAGCCCTGGCTCTCACCTGAGCGCCGACAGGATCTGCGTACACCAGCGCTTCCAGGCCTAGCGGCGGACGCACGACTCCGTCGGGTGGGCGCGGGAGAGGCAGCTGGGCCTGTGGAGCCCATCCTGCGCCCTCACCCAGCCCATCCAAGTCTGCCCCTGTCCCTGAAGCCACCCCAGCCCTGTCCTCTCCCCCGTGCTGCCCCAGCCTACTCCCCATACCCGCGCATTCATGGCCTTGTGGTTCTTCTTAGTCTTTTTGAGAAATTGCTTGAGGCTGCCGGATGACACATACTCTGTGATGAATATGACCTATGGGGGGTGGGGAGCAGGGGATCAGAGGTTCCAGCAGCTGCCTGTCCCACAGCAGCCCCACCCAGCTTGTAGCTTCACTATGCCTAGTGGCTTTGCCCACTCACCCTTGCATGGGCCTCAGAGGCATCCAGCCAGTACTTGTGAAACTTGACGATGTTAGGGTGGTCCACTAGGGCCAGTTGCTCAAACATAGTCTGGATCTTCTCCTGGGGAGGGTGGGGGCAGTCAACGGGTGGTCAAAGGGATGGGATGAGGAGGGAGCAGTGGGCCTCACCTCATGGGCTGCGAAGGCCTTCCTGTCTCCGAAGTGGAGCTCATTCCACACCACTTCTACCCCTTCCTCGGTGTCCATGGCCAGGAAGGTGCTCTGGACCCCAGGCATATTCCCCTGGTTCACCTGGGAGTGGGGGGATGAGGGGTTATGTGTGCCCTGGGGTGTCAGGGTTGAGGGTGAGGACTTAGTCCCTGTGCACACCCTTCCTGCAGCCTGAGCATGTGCTACAGGCCCTGATTCCCCCGGTGGGTGACCTGGGGTCCTGGGGGGGGGATGGCTGGTGGGGGCGGAGGCCTACCCAGGGGCTAGGCTAAGGGGATTTGGATCAGGTTTCAGGACGTTTAGCAGCAGATCCCAGAAGCATGGGGAAGTGGTCCCGGAAGGAGACTAGTGACTTCAAGAATGGAGTTTCTCACCAGGGCGTGGGCGACGGGCCAAAGGGGTCCAAGAGCTGGCCAAGTCGCCAGACGCCTGAGAGAGGCCGCGGAGAGGTTTTCAGCCCCTGTGCTTCCCCGGCGTCCTATGGCCCCTAGTGGTTTCCCGGCCCCACCACCTCAGGGAGGGCGGTGTCACCCTGCCCCCGACCCCTGCCCACCTGCTCCCGCCGCTTCTGCCAGCGGCCACATGGGCTTTCCTCCAGGATGTCACTCTCGTCCTCGCTCTCGTCCTCCCGTTCCCGCTCCCGGCCCCGCCTCGGCGCCGGCTCTGGGGCCGCCATGGCTCGGCAGACCCAGGCCACCGCCCTCCGCGAAATCCACCGCCGGGCCCCGCCGCCGCTCCCGGCCCGCCCTGGCCCTGGCCCCAGCCGCCCAGCCGCCCAGGCGCTCAGCCGCCCAGCCGCCCAGCCGCCCAGCCGCCCAGCCGCCCAGCCGCCCAGCACGGAGCCGCAGCCGCTTAGAGCCCCCACCCCGGCTCCAGTCCTGGAAGCGCGAGCGCGAGGCGGGCCGGGAGAGGGACCCGGGGTGGAGCCGGCCCGCCCCTCCCGAGCCGCCTCTGCGGTCGGGAGCCGGAGCGGAGCTTCCAGGCTGGCGGCCGAGTCCTGGCCGCGCCCCGCCCCGCCCCGCCCCGACGAGTGCCCCGCCCCGCGTAGAGGCTCCGCCCTTTCCAGGCTGAGGCCCGCCCACTCCCATCCGATGTCCCGCCCACTCTCTTCCTGGGCCCGCCGGGCTCCTGCAGGGGCTGGTCACGCTTTGGGGAGAGAAAGCCACCGGACCACCGTGAGCCGTGTCCGTCGGGGCCTCCCTGGGCTCACTGCAGCCTTCGCAGACATGGCGTGGGGGACGGGTGTGGGATCTGCCTCTGTCCAGTTCTAGGAGCGGGATCCTGCCCCTCTTCCCCTCCCCACTCTGGCCACGCACATTCGGAACCCGACCTGTGGCGGGCCAGGCATAGAGCCGGGACCTAGAGCAGCCCACTTTGCGCGCGGTTGCGCCCCTGAGAGTCTAGGGGAAGGCCCGGGGCAGGGGCATCGGGGGCCCACCCAGGCTCCAGCCTGCTCCAGCTGCAGAAGGCCCTCAGAAGCCAAGTGGCACTCCGGGCCAGCATGCCCCCAGCCTCAGCCCCAGGGGACACAAGGGAGGGCCGCTGGAGGTGGAGGTCCGTACACAGCAGGCTGACCCGGTTGACTAATTCGTAGCTAACCCTAGCTGCACATCTCTCACTGGCCGGCAATTCTGTGCTTCCCTTTCACGCCCACACGACCATATCTTTCCACCTTCCTGGGACATCACCCCCAAGGAGGCCACCTTCGGGCATTTCAGCTAAGATCCCCTTGTACCCCCCCAGCCCACTCCCTTCCCACGGTCTCCTCCCTCTCCCACCTGCCAGTTCCTGGCCCCTCCTTTGCCTCTTTCTAGGGACAAATGTGCTTGCCTAATCTAAAACCTGGACCCCAGGTGAACTGCTCCTCCCAGCCCCACTCTGTGGGCTCAGTCCTGCCAGTCTCTGAGAACCTGTGATGCCTCTTTCTGTCCTAGCCTTTGGTATAGCTGCATCTGACCCTTCCCTGTGTCCACTGCTGTCACTCTTCTCTGACCAGCAGTGCTCCCCATGCTCCCGGCTTCCACCAGCACCAGTGATCCTGCTTAGAACCCCTGTGCAGTGGAAGTTGAGGGTATTCAAATCCCACACCTTCCAGAGAAACTGGCCCTTGACCAGTTCCTGGAGACAACCTCTAAGCTCTTGGAATATGCTGCCTGATTCAAGCATCCATGTTCGCCAGGGCCTTGGGCCACTCCAGAGTCTGTGCTGACAATGTGAGCTGTTAGGGCCTGGGGCCACTCAGCATCAGTGTGACTGCTGGAGGACCGGAGACTGAAGTCAGCCCCCAGGAGGTCAGCAGTGCCTATGTGACCTACCCAATAAAATGCCTGGACTCCATGGCTTGGGTCTTCCCTGGTAGGCAGTACCCCAGGCATGCTGTCACACACACTGCTGTGTGAGCTGAGTGTTATTCACATGACTCCACTGGAGAGGACAACTGGAGGCTGGTGCCAGGTCTCTCCTGGACTCTCCCATGAGACTTTGCTCTACCAATTTTAATCTGTATTCTTTGCTGCAATAAATAGTCCCGGTGAGTATAACCGTCCTCCTAGGGAGTCATTGAACCTGAGGTTCACCCCCCAATGGTCCCTGCTCACTCAGCACGAGGACCACACCCTAACCACAAAGGCCCTGCAGTGGCCACATCACCTTTAACTCATTCCCCCACCCTCTCCAGTTGAGCCACTCCAGGCACACAGGCCCTACACTGCAGGGTCTTCACCCTGGCTGTGCCCTCTGCCTCCGAGTCCACTTCCTGCAAGTCCTCACTCATCTGCTCAGAGAGGCTGGCCCTGGTCACCCATCTGACATCACAGCCCATCCCTGCTTCCCCTGCTGGACTTGCCTCTTCCTTGGCATCCACCTATACCCTACCGGCATATGCACTTTGCTCTTCTCTCTTCACTTTGTGTCTCTGTTGGGATCCAAGCGCTCCAGGGGGGCAGGGGTGTCTGCTCACTGTCCCTGCTCTTCTTGTGATGCTGAGGACAGCAGCTGGCACAGCAGATGTTTGTCAAATGGATGTGTGGGCTGACAGGGTGTTTTAGGTGGGGTCCAAGGGGCTCTTAAGGAAGAGGTAACATTTGAGCAGAATCTCAATGAATTTCCTTCCCTTTCTCTGTCCCCATAACTAGATACATGCTCTGTGGTGGGTAAAAGAGAGCCCCCCCCCAGAAGATATGTCCATGTCCTAACTCCTAGTCCCTAGGAAGATGCCTTATTTGGAAAAGGTATTTGCAGATGCAACTAAGTTTAAGATCTTGAGATAAGTCATCCCGGATTTAGGGTAGGCCCTAAACTCAATGTTTGGTGCCTTCTTAAGATAAAGAAAAGGGATATTTGAGGCCCAGAGAAATAGAGAAGATGGTCATGCAAAGAGAGAGGCAGACACTCGAGAGAGATATCTAGGGGCTAAGGAGTGCCTAGGGTCACCAGAGCCACTAGCAGTGAGGAGAAGGGCCTGGGACAGAATCTCCCCAGAGCCTCAAGAAGGAACCAACTCTGGTGACACCTTCAGCTTGCATTTCTAGCCCCAGAACCGTGAGAGAGTAAATTTGTATTGTTTTAAGCCACTCCATTGAGGGCAGCAGCTCCAGGAGACTAGTGCAAGCTCTCAGCATGCCCTGCACACATGGGAACAAAGACACACAAGAGTAACATGTATTCACATGCAAGTATGGGTGGACAGGTGGTCCTCAGCCATTTATCCCCGCCACCCCACACAGTGGGTCTGACTGTTGCCCACCAACTCACAGTGGAGGTGGCTTCCTTGGGCCTATGCTCCAGAACTGGGACCACCCTATACCCTGCCCCTGTGCTTGCCCATCCACAGATACTGCCAGGCCCTTTGTTATTTATTAGACATTATTTGGGGCCATGCTTGTTCTCAGGAGCCATTGTCAGCACTTCCAGACAGCCCGTCCTCTTGTAATGGCACATAGCACCAACTGCAGGTTGGCTGCCCACTGCCTCCTCCTTCTCTCCCACCTTGTGGACCCTTGGGGTCTTTCCAAATCCCCCCTGCCACGTGAGGCAAGCAGGTGACCTGCTCTCTGAATTCCTGCCCATTTCTTTCCCACTGCAAGTGGATGACTCCCCAGCTCAGGGGCTCAGGATTGGTGTCCTAGATGCCAGGAATCCTGGGGTGGGAGAAAGCCAGGTGGTCCCAATCCAGGGGTCAGAGGAGCACCAGAGGGCCCCTCGAAATTTCTGCCCCCAATCCCCTCTCCTGGTTTCACACCTGTGTACACTTCCCTCTCAGGAGTGTGAACTGCCCTTGGGGACTTGCTTCTAAGAACACAACAGAGGCAATGGGCTAGAACCTCTGAGACCAAGTAGCAGAGACTGTGGCTCTCTCACCCACTCCAAGGAAGCTGCTGCCATCCTGTGAGTTGCCCTTAAGTAGAGGCCCATGTGGCAAGAAACTGGCGTGTCTGGATGACAGCCACTGACCACCCATGTCAGGCAACAGCCAGTTTGGAAGTGGGTATGGGTGAGTATGTGTGTTCGTGTGTGTGTGTGTGTGTGTGTGTGTGTGTGTGTGTGTGTTTAGAAGTACTAATTGGAAATAAATTATCAATTCTTTCAAAAAGATTTCAGGAGGATAGCAATATATTTAATCATAAATTATTTATAAGAAATAGAGGCATAGGCCAGGCATGGTGCCTCACACCTATAATCCCAGCATTTGGGGAGGTGAAGGTGGGAGGATCACTTGAGGCCAGGAATTTGAGACCAGCCTGGACAACATAGCGAGACACCATCTCTACAAAAAAAAAAAATTGAAAAATTGACTGAGCATGGTTGGCATGTGGCTGTAGTCCTAACTACTCAGGAGGCTGAGGCAGGAGATCAGGAGTTCAAAGCTTCAGGGAGTGCACCACTGCACTCCAGCCTGGGCAACAGAGCAAGACCCTGTCAAGAAAAAAAGAAAAAGAAAGAAGGAAAGAAAGAAAGGAAGGAAGGAAGGAAGGAAGGAAGAAAGAAAGAAAGAAAGAAAGAAAGAAAGAAAGAAAGAAAGAAAGAAAGAAAAAGGAAGGAAGGAAGGAAATAGAGGTATACATACAGTGTATACATACAACAATGTCTGAATAGAAGATAACTGATGCCTATGGCAGGCTCTTCTAAGTGTAAAAGGCCCTTCCTGGTGGCATCTTAGCATGTACATCAAATTGTGTTCAGGGACTATGTGGGCATTTTTAGTAATTTAAAAAACTTGCTGAAAAGATTGAATATCACTTTTTCAAAAGAGCAGTAAAGACAAGTAAGTATGAAATTGTCTGCTGCATCATGTACGTTAGGCTCTGGGCTGTAATAACCACAGGTATTCAGCATTGCAAAGTGCAGAGGGCTATCACAAGTGTAAGGCTGAACTTAAAAATTTTTTTAACTAAACACATTTAATAGGTAAACGGTCTTGTTTTGTCGCCCAAGCTGGAGTGCAGTTGGACCACGGATCCCATAGCTCACCAACAGCTAAAGAAAAACTTCCTGGGCTCACTTGATCTCTCACTTCAGGCTCCCCAAAGTAGCTGGGGATTCAGTGCGCCACTGCCACCAAAGCTTGTGAGCTGAATTAAGATGAGAAAAATAAACCAACATGTCTGTTCTGCCAAAAACCAAAATTAAAAAAAGATAATGGGATTCCTTGTTGAGGGAAATTATTTTACAAAAATAGAATTTGCAATAAAGATTTATCATAAGGAGTTTGTTTTATGTTTTGTTTATTAATAAATATTGATACAATTAAGATGGAACTTTAAAAAAA